GGAAAGAGGCAAAGGGCGTCTGCTCTCAGGCGTCATCTGGGAAGGAAATGCACTGACTGAAGTCCATGGTCAACCACCGTCCCTGTAACTGGCTCCAAATTAAAATGCAGAAAATCAGGGGCGCCTGGGGGGCCTAGTGGGTTAAAGGGGTCAGGTCATGGCCCCAGGGCAGGGAGCCTGCTTCCCCTGCCCTCGCCACCCTCTCTGCTTATTTGTGGTCTCTGTCTCATAAGTAAATAAATAAAACCTTAAAAAATAATCACTTCGGTGAGGAAGCTCTTTCTGAACTGTACGTGTTTTGACGGACTACACGTCTCACACCTGAGACACATGCAACTACAAAAGATAGAAAACGGGGTCCTGGCACGGGGTGACTCCCACTGCCAAACCTTGGCTCTGCACACAGAGGGCTTCTGTGGCCCCAGGGGCCTGCACTCTGGGTTTGTGTCGCGTGGAAATAAAGTCTCCGGGGTGGGCCGAACGGACTCGGGAATTTCTCGGGCGAGAACTGAGTTACCTTAACACGAACCAAAGACACGGCTGAAGTGTGGCCTCTCACGCTGGTGGTTCCGCCCTCTACGGTCTCCGTGACCGGGAGGGTTACAAGGTACAGGAAACGTTTTCCCAGGTGAATGTCGACAGGGAATTTGGAGACTGAAGATGCAGACATTTAAAAACGGGGGGTTCTACCTCCGGGTTAATGTCTGGGGTCCTCCAGCTGCTCTGGGGCTGCAGGCATAAAACACCGAAATAACGCTAAACCCGAGGGCCCTTGGCGCCAGCTGCTCGAACAGGTGACCACCAGCCAGGAGGTGGGGAGGCCAAGGTCACAGTGCTGGCTGACCCCACGTCTGCGGACCCCTGCTTCCGTCTCGCCCTCTTGCCCTCACCACTGCCCAGTACGTTACTACTCCCTTCCAGATGCAGGAGAGCCGTACGCCGAGTGACAAAAGACCTCCGCTCCCCTCGCTGGGCTTGTGGCACAAGGTGAGGACAGTCCCCTCAAGGGGAAGGCGTCAGGCAGCTCCAGAAGGGTGTGGATCCCCTCCCCACCCACACCCTCTTGACGTGGCGCTCCGGCCGTCCTGAGACTACCAGGCTCCGGATACCCTGGAGTCGATTCCAGAACATTCTACCTCCCAGGTCATTAGAAGAAAACGGGTTCCCAGATCCCTCCCAACGCCGTAGTCTGGACAAGACCCAGGAAGACAACACGTGTATCACGCTCTAGCTACTGACAAAGGGGACCAGCGGTTTCAAACCCGTAAGGTCCCCCACTAGAGCGAAACAAATGGTAACACGGGGTGAGTCACAGTCTGGGCATCGTCTGCTTACTGGCAGGAGGCCTGAGCCCTGGCTCTGGGCGTCAGTCTGGCGGCAGCGGCACCGGCTGGCGCGGGGGCTCCGGGGTCCCACAGATGTGGCTGCTGTACGGGAACTCCCGCCCGTCCCGCAAGCTCACGGGAACTCCACTGGGAAGGGGCAGCAGGGTGCGGGCGGGAAACAAGCACCTGGTTTGGGGACCCCAAGCATGGAGGTACTCTGATCGCGGCATGGGGGGCAGCCCTCAGGCTCAAGGCCAGCCCCACTCACCCCTGCACCTCATCCTGGGGTAGGGGCTCTGTGTCCTGCCTGCCGAAGCCTGGGGTCAGTGGACCCACGCACCCGTCAGGACGTCTGAGTGGTGCCAAGCCTGGGCCAGCCGGAGCAGGAGGCTACAGCATGATTACAGGGTCACGAAGGGATCCGCCACCACCCGGGAGCCCTGGCGGGTGACCAGTCAGTCAGGGGACGTCTCCACCGTCCGATGGCACCAATGCAGAATGAGGTGGGCTTCTCCACTTTGCTGCTGTCCGCACGCGTGTTCCCTGGATGGAACAGAGGGCAGGCGGGTTCCTGGGAGGACAGAGACATCTAATGATACTTCCGTAGTGTCACGCCATCTGACGGCACGGACGTCGGCACCCACCGGGCAGAGGGGCCTGAAGACTGTCACGAGTCCTGCCAGCAGCTCAGCCAGCTTCCAGGCACTCCGGTTCCTCACCAAGAACACCCCCCACGGCCCCCCCCCACGCCCTGTCCGGAACGATCTGTTTGCACAGGTTGGCGAGTACCAGCTCTCCGAAGGGACCTTCTCCACGGCTGGCTCCGGACTCTGCTTGTCTGCGTCTGCTCGTCCCTCACCCGCTGTCCCACGCCAGGCACTGCGGCTACGCGGATGGGCGGACACAGACCCCGCCCTCAGCAACACAGTCGTCTGGGAGCCCGGGCTGTCGTTCTCTGAGCGGGCAAGGACCTGCCAGTGGTCGTCCTGCGTCCTGAGCTGACGGTTGGCAACCTCAGCTCCGACACCAGAGGAGAAAGTCCCCGGGGACGCGTGGCTGTCCCACGTCTCCCAGAGGCAGGTCAGGTTCCTGATGTCCGGCTATGAAAACAGACCTGCAGGGTCCCCGGCACGGCGCCAAGCAGAGCCCCGCGGCCCAGAGCTGTGGGTGTCAGCGGTGTGCGGGGCACTTGGAGGGGCCCGGGATCTACGGAGAGAGACAGGGGCACGGCCCCCGCCCGCAGGGCGCTCAGGAACAGGGGAGCAGGGGCGGGGGCAGAGAAAACGCGCTCCGCCCCCTTGGCCTGGTTTGTGTCCCCATCTTGAACACCACAGCCTGGCTCCCAGGAGAAAGCGCAGGGCCGCGCGCTCATCCGGGACGCGTGACCTCTGCCTGAGGCCCGGCTGGAGAGCCCACGTCCTCGCTAGGGGCACAGCTTTCCCCCTCAGACACCCGGGCCAGGGCAGTCCAGCTAATGCTGCCAGGCCCTCCCGATTCCCCAGCGCCTCCGGCTGCCGTGCGCGCCCACCCGCGGGGGATAGGCAAGTGGCTCGCTGCCCGGGCCGCAGGGGCCTCTCTGCTCACAGCCTCAGCCTCGCACTAGCTAGCGCAGAGCCTGGGAGGGGCTGCACCCCCGGGAAGGCACCGCCAGTCCCTGCGCAGTGACGGCACGCAGTCCTCCGTCCACTGGGTTCAGAAGCCTCTTTCTACACAGACAGGCTGCTTCTGTGTCCCTCACAGTGTCCCCGGTCGGAGGGAGCACTGACCTGGGGGCGGGGGGCGAGCTCCTGCGCTGCCTGGCCTCGCCCTGCGCAAGAACGGCATCTCTGTGAGGATGCAGGGCGTCAAGGGGGAACCGGGGAAGGTCCAAGTCCTCACGCAGGTCAGACAAAAACGAAGGGGGAGCCTGGGGGCCTCAGTGGGTGAAGCTTCTGCCTTCGGCTCAGGTCACAATCTCGGGGTCCTGGGATCAAGCCCCACACAGGGCTCCCTGCTCGGCGGGAACCCTACTTCTCCCCCTGCCCTCCCCTGCTCACGGGAGCTGTCAAATAAATAAAATCTTAAGAAAAAAGCTAAATACTTGGTACTGTAACCCAAATTCTGAGCAGAGATGGAGCATCCGCCTGCCTCCCCCGGACGCAGGAGACCTGCACGGATGCGGACGGTATCGAGAGACAAGAACAGACATCCTTTCGAGTCTATAAACTTAAGTTACTTTATTACGCCTCTGTCCCGTCAGAAAACACCAGTCGCACCAGCTCCGCGAGACAGCACGTGACCGCGGGCAGCAGGAGCACGGGCCTTCCCAGCAGTCTCTGCGGGGACGTGGCGCGCCAGGCACTGCTGAGCCCCACGGCACGTCTTACAAGGAGATAAACAGGTATTGCACACCTTGACCTAAGCCCGATCCGAGAATCGAGGCAGCAGCACTGAGGACACGGCCCTGTGAGCTGCGGGTCCCGGGTGAGCGCAGGTCGGGCATCCCCATGACCAAGAAACACGTGGTTTTTGCAAATTTGTCTAAGGGACTTTCGATAAAAAATAAATTTTTAATTGCACGGTCATGGCCAGAACAAGAAGCGTGTGTGGGCCCCCACATCATGAGCTGCAATGGCCCACCTTCCTAACGTCTGCACTAAGGCTTCGCAGACTTACTCTGTGCCCGTGTTCATGGCCTGACGGACACCCACTGGGGGCTGCCCCCCTGGAAGGAGGTGCTGCCGCGGGGACACCGGTGTCTAGGAAAGGCAGAGAGGCTGGCGAGCTCTAGAAGTGGGGTGCCCAGGTCTTCCCGCACAGGTGCCAGGCTGCTGTAACTACCACCGGGCGCGGCATGCACAAGGCGACAGCCTCGGGACCCACCTCCAGGCGCCCAGCAAGGGCTGCTGCACAGGGAGCCAGGCCGCCAGCCTTGCCGTCCAGCCCTCAGCGCACAGCAGAAGGCGACGGGTGCCCGGCCTGGACACCCCCAGAAACCAGCCATCAGCCACAGAACCCACTGGCAACTCGGTCTACTTAAGACGGTTCTCCGGTCCAGACAAACCTGATGCCCACACACCTCCCTTGTTTGTCAAGGGAGCCACAGAGCGGGCACACACACTTCTTGTCCTCCTACAGATGCCCTGACCTACAAGCCTCGCAGGCCTCGCTGTCACGCACGTTCCTGTCAGGCTGGATCCAGTCCCAGGTGGAGGGCCCTGCCCGTGGTCTCCACGTGCTCTTACCGCCTGACACGCATGTGCACAGCGGGCCACAGGCTTCACGCAGGGCGCTCTGACGAGAGGCACAAACAGGACACCCTACCAGCCCAGGGCAGGTCTCTCCAGCTAAGCGGGACACCATGACTGGACAGGACCTAGGACACGCCGACCGTGGGACCAGAAAGACCACACTGGCGGCCACAGTGCCATGGATGGGAGCCTGTGGCCCAGCCTTCACCCCCCACCCCTCCTCGGTGCTGCTCAGGGCCCCATACAGGCAGGCGTGCAGGAACAGACCACAGCAGGCAACCGAGTCAGAATGGCAAAACCCCGCCCCGGAGGCAAACCGTGCCTTCTAGAACCCGCGGCGGCTGCGTGGCAATTTACACGCACGCCACAGTGGCTCGGACCTGGAAACCGTGCTGGGTTCAGAGTCTGTGCTGGGGGACCGTGGGGTGGGGGGCGCCGGCGGGCCCGGGGGCAGGAGCCGCAGCGTGCTGCGGTCTGGGCCCTGCGGCTACTGCCCCTTCTTGGGCGGCACCTGGCCGTCGGCCCCAGCAGGCCGGCTGCTCCTCGGTGCGGGCTCCGCGAAGTTCCAGTCCACGGGGTGCAGCAGCTGCTGCGTCTTCTTGTGGGTCCAGTAGGGGTTGATGACGAGCGTGAGCAGGCTGAGCCCGGCCAGGAAGAGCGCCAGGTGCGGCCGGTGCAGGCTGGCGAGCAGCCCGTCCCAGTGGCGCAGGCACACCCACCACATGTGGTAGGTCAGCACCATGCGGCAGTGAAACAGGTGCACCATTAGCCACTGGTTCAGCCTCCAGAGCCGCGAGTCCGACCAGCCGGCCTGTGGGCAGAGCACATGCCGTCAGCGCTCCACCCCTGCGTCCCCGCGCATCCCTGCACGTGTGTGCCCTCCTCTCCCCGGGGTTCCTGGAGGACGGAGCCGCCCGCGTGGACGCACGGACAGTGGGGCCCTTCCGCTGTCCCTCCCATGAGCAGCGTCCGATCTTCTCTCCAGTCTCCCCGCAGAGCCCACATGTAACCCAACCACACTCCGACCAACGAGCTCCCACAGCACCGCAGCCGGGAGGAGGGACGTGGAGGGAGACACGTGTGTCCTGCCTGGAGTTCCCACACTTTCTCCCCAGGGGCCCATGGACACAGGCAGATGCAGACCTTCCCTGAAACAATTAAATTTACACTCAACTGGTTTTCAAGAGTCAAAGCCAAAAGTGAACAGAGAACGTGACGGCCCATAAGATAGCGGATACCAAGGTGGGACCTCACCAGGACCAGGACAGCTGGGCACTGGGACAGCCGGGCACCAGGACAGTCAGCACTGGGACAGCCGGGCACCAGGACAGCCACACATCACATTCCAGCACCCCTCAGACCTCCCACAAAGCAGCCTCTCCAGCCTTCTCTCTGCTGAACCCAAGCTACAAAACCTCCCCCAGGAGCTCCGTGCTGCAGGTGGCCCCCAGGGTGGGCAGGTCTTTTTTGAGAAGGAGCTCTGAGCGGGCCCCAGAGCGTGGCCTCAGAAAAGGGAAGGGCTGCTCTTTAGGTGCGTCTGCCAAGTCCCGAAGGGGATGCAGAAAAGCCCGAAGTTGTTTTTAAACAACGAGGACGGACTCCTGACCTCTCACGGCATGAAAATGCGTCCACGTGGCTCTGACCTGGGAAAACAAGAATCCATGGGCCTGATGACTCGGAAAAAATTAACTAATAAAAACAGAAACTCCCCTGTTGTCTGAAATACAGTGAACTTACCCAAAAATAACTGCACAATACCTCCGCGTGGTCCACTACCTCAGAGCAGACGTACCTGTGTGTGTTTTCCAGTCGGCTGATGCCCCGTCAGTGTGACACCCCACAGAGGCATCCTGCCCGCTCCGGCAGAGTGTGAACACGAGAAGGACGGGAAGCGAGGACGGGAGGGCCCACAGAAAGGCCCGTGGAGGCTCCAACAGCGTGCTCCCTCTCTGGGCACGCATCCTCGGGCCTCCCGCGGGCAGCCCGCCGCGGAGTCCGCAGCGGTGCATACGGCTGTGCTCACGCAGCGCTCCACCTTCAGAGCCTGCGGGCAGCGTTTCCCATGATCACCAAGTACTTCATTTGCTCCAACCCTGTGTTTGGTGCCACTTAGGGGGGACCAGAGCCACGTGCTTCCCGTGGACCCTGCTCTGTGGGAGTGATAAACACGCAGGAGTCAGGGCCAAGGCACAAATCCAAAACAAGTGCGGCCCCTCCAGAATGAAGGGACAGGGAAGAAGCTGAGACCCGGAGATGAGTGTTCATCAGTCCTGACGGCCATGTGACAGGAGGACAAAACCAAATGTGTCCGCTAACTGGTCTCTAAAATCAGAGGGCGAGGCTACAGTTCTCTGAGGCTCCTGTCTGAAGGCGAAGCCACGACGGCCGTCAGCCCTCCATCAGCAAGAACCGGGTGCCCCAGCACTCCCGCGTGCTCCAGTCTGGTGAGAAACAGTGCGGACGGACCCTGCCAAGTGGCCCCATCCCAGGTCCACAGGCGGCGACGGACAGCACCCGGCACGGGCATGGGCGCACTGTTCACGTGCCCTCCTCTGACACCTACTGGTGGCACCGGCTGTAGCCTGGATGCACACAGGTGGGGACACCTGGCCCCAACTGCATGCATGGGCTCTGCTCACCTGTGTGAGCTCCACTGGACTTGGCTACACTGTTTCCCACGGGAACAAAGCGTATGTCGGCCCCGCACGGACTGCACCTGCAGAGCTCAGTCCATCACCCGCATCTCCTCCCCTGTGCCCGCCTGCAGCTGGCACAGCACCTGATTCCTACCAACGAGAGTGTGTATCTTCTGTGGGATTGTGCAAGGAGACCATAGGTACACACTGCTCTAGCACAGAAACGCAGAAGGTGTGACGTTTCCCAAGTCAGATGGCTCCGTGGGAGAGGAGGCTTCCCGTAGGCAAACTCTGGAGGACCCAGGACAGAGCACGCCTCAAGGCCACCTCCCCATCACTCCTCCTTCACACTGAGCAGCACGGACTCCGTCCCACTTCACCATTCCCCCCAAATTCACAGAACGAAGGTCTCTTCTCCGTTATTCCCCTCACTGCTAAAGTGGCCTTCTTAAATTATTAACGTTCATATCACAAATACAAACTCGTCCGCATACAGTAATTAAGTTCCGTTTGAAAACTGAGCCTTCTTCAGCGTAACTCGGGCACCGTCAGCTCGCGTGCCGTGTTACCACGTGCTCTGAGCAGGGACAGGGACAAAGTCACCGGTGACGGCCTGTACAGAGCCTGCTGGGTGCAGCTCTGGCTCCCGGGGCTAGCGTCGCATAGCACATGTGCCCAGACGCCGACACGACCCCACTCACAGCACGGCCCGTCCTCTGTGGGCGAATGTTACCCCGAGGTTCGAGTCCTGGGCCTTTCGTTCGCTGACTCTAACCTTCCAGAATCAGTCAAGAAGGAAATGCGGAGAACAAATCCCTGCCGGGGAAGAGCCGGTGGTGTTTGCGGACTCTGCGCCTGTCCTTTGCTATCTCAGCAAATCAGACCTGACGGTCCAGGATTTCCTGAACCCGGAAGCCCCACTGCGCACGACTCTGGCAGCTTCATTAAAAGCTTAAAATGATTTCAATACCGTAGGCCCCATTTATTTACATGTAATAGGAGGGAAACCTCAACAAGAAACAGCACATCTAGAAACCTGCCCTACGCTGCCCCAACCTGGGGTGCAGTTCTGGTGCTGGGGTCTGCTGGCTAGGCAGAGGGTGAGGTGTTAGGAAGCGAGCACAGAGATCCCTTCGTCCATCCTGCACAAACAGCACCCAGCAAGCTGTAGAGACAGCAGAAAAACCCAAAACCAAGTCTCTCTCCCGTGCCCACCCGCCGCTGGAGTCTGCCTTCGTCCCGAGGATGCCGAGGACCAGAGGCTGGTGGCCATGCCTGTCCCAGGCAGAGTACATAGAAGAGGTATCTGTGAAACCATTCAACGCTGATCACCACTAGGGACTGGCAAGAGACAGGGATATTTTTTCTTTCTCTTTTAAGATGTTCCTTTCAAAAACAACAAGAATTCCATAAAACTAATCGTCTATTTTCTTGAACACGTGCGTTACATCGCAGGCCCGTCTTAAGGCGCAGGTCCCTGCTGACCACGGCGGTCCAGCCCATCCCTGCAAGCAGGCCGTACAGGGGCACATGGGACAGGACCGAAGGACCACAGGCTGTCTGTCCGGCACGGCCTCCGACCACAGCCGACCACGACGCTGGTGCTGTGCTCATGGCCAGAGAACACAGGGAAGTCACAAGCTCTGCTCTCCATCCTCGGGAAGCCCCTCTCTGTGGGGAGGACACCCACAGGGAGAGAACGGAAAGCCGCAGGGCACGGGCAGGACACACTAGAGGTTCCCGAGTCACGGCCTCTTATTGCAACGACCCACTGCTGGACCGGTAGCCTCCGTGGTTGCTCAGAGGTTGGCTGGCTTGGCTTCCACTCCATTTACAGTCTCCAACCCTCCCCCAACCTTCACAGCCCAAGGACCTCAACCATCCCCAAACCCCGCATTCTGACGCTCTCTGCAGGGGCTCCATGGAGCGGCGGCTGCAGCTCCCAGCACGCACCCGGGTTCGCGGGCCAGCCCCAGCACCCCCCTGTGCCCGTGCTGCCCAGCCCGCCCACTCGCCGTGGTGCCCGTCCCTGCCCTCGCACGTCCTCCTGCAGCACCGGGCAGAGCCACCCCAGTCAACAGTGGCGAGGCCAGACACCAGCCCCGTGCCCTGCAAGCGTCTGCTGCGTGGCAGGGGTCCGCCCGCGGACATGGTAATTCAGTCCACGTTCCCGAACCGCCTACCCCAGGGGACCTGAAGGCTCCGAGGAGTCTTCCCGCTTCTCGATTTTCTCCTGAAGTTCACCATGGCATTAGGGACTGCTCAGGGACCTGAGCCATCCGTGGTGCCAGCATCAGACATCTGCTCAAGGAAAAGCAGTATTTCACGTTTCATACAAAACGCCCTGTGAACAGTGAGCCGAAAGAGACGGCAAGAAACGTGTGCTGAAGAAAGAACTCTCGAGTCTTGCCTGGACGCTTTGATATCAAAACGAGAATCAAGACTGGACGCAGGACCCACACAGGTTCCGAGAATATGCCTTCAGAAACAAGCCGCAGATGCCGCACAAGGGAGGGTGAGGGCCCGACGCCTGGGGCTGTAACACAACACCGCATCTGGAGACACAGCGCCATAGGGCACGCGAGCGGGGACAGACGCCGGGACACAGTGGGCGGGAAGCCGGACCCAGCCGCCCACAGACGCCCTGGCTCGGCACAAAGCCGCCTTGTGACAAATCTGAAATCTGAGAGAGGCTCCTGCGTGCGAGGAGCTGTGGGCCACCCTCAACATGGGGGGAAGGGACCCTCCCACAGCATAGGGTCAGGAGGTGACCCCAGAAGAGGGAGGAGCTGGTGCAGGTGTCCTGCACCCCAACTTCCCTGGGGGCTCGCGGAGGACTGGCCTCGGTCCGGTTGGTCCTGGAGTTCTGACGGGTCTATCAGGGTCCAGCTGCCCCAGCCCACGGGAAAAGAGGCAGCGGCTGGGCTGGCAGACGCTACGGCTTCCGCCCCCCACTCCAGCTGCACATGGAGGGGGCACACGGCCCGGTGGCCCACAATCCCCTGGGAGGGACAGAGCCAGCAGAGAGCCCAGGACTTCCAGCTGGGCTGAGCAGCAGGGTCGGGTCTGCGTGGGGACAGCATGCGGAGCCTGAGAGATGGGCCGGCTTTGTCTGACGCACGGACAGCAACAGCCTCGGGCAAGCGTAGACTTGGGCCAAGGTCCACCTCCAAAAGCTGACCCCACAGGACTGGGCGTAACTGTCAGGAAGACACAGGTCACTGAAGTCACGAGAATGGCGCACCAACAAAACGAGTTCAGCAGACACAGAAGATGCTTAAAAAAAAAAAAAAAGTCTCAAAAGGAAATCAAGGAGCTGAGAACACAGTAAAGGAACTGAAAATTTTACTAAAAGGCTCACCAACGTGAGCCCCAGTTCAACGCCGTCTATACCGAAATCACAATGGCGCTCTCTGCGGAAACAGGAGAAACCATTCTAAAATTCACAGAAAACGGCAGAAAACCACCAACAGTCATCTGAGCCTTGAGAGAGAACACATGGAGGCACCACACGTCCTGAGTTTGAACTGTACGACAGAGCTGCTCCCAACGGCACGGCGCTGGCGCGAACGCGGGCACCGAGGCCAGAGCCCAGAAGAAAGTCCACTGTGGACACTCAGCTCGTCAGCCACGAAGGGGCCTAGAACCTACAACAGGGAAAGGACTGTCCCTCCGACAGGTGGTGCTGGGAACACTGGGCCATGTTCCTACACCAGACGCTACAGTCAGGATGGGCCGAAAGCTCACACGAAGACGGAACACGAGCAGTCCCGGGAGGAGACGGGGACAGAGCTTCACGACACTGGTCTGGGCGACGACTGCCTGGGCATGACACCAAGGACTCGGGCGAGAGAGAGAGACGAGTAAACTCGGACTGCATGGAGCTGAAAGGCCCCAGTGGGGGGAAGGTACCCACAGACCACGTGAGCAGAACACACGGCTCTCCATCGCGGGAAAAGGACTACAGGGCACGAGGGGAGAGAAACCTCTGGTTTGAACACGGCACCGTGGACAGTTTGGAGGAGACACATGCACGGCCCACAGCCGCATGGAAGTGTCCAAGGGCACCAATCACCAGGGAGAAGCAAACAGAAGCCACCAGGGGCCCGCCACACGTGGCCAGGATGGCCCGAATCCATGACACGCAGGAGACCAGGGCGGACGAGCACGCAGACACCGGGACCGGCAGGCGTCGCGGGCACGGGAGGGGGCAGCTGGGGACAGGACAGCACACAGGTCAGCATCTCGGAGAACCACCCCATCACCCGGTCATCCCACTTCCGAGCACTGTCCCCAAACAACACCTGCCCCCAGGACCTTGAGGAGTGGCGAATGCCTCCCCATCTCACAGCAGCGCTATTCACCACGGCTAAGACGCGCCCCTACCCCGGGTCCCTGCAGCGGATGCACGGACACACCACATGGCTGCCTGGTCTGGGTGCGAGGGAGGCAGGGGACACTGATCCCCCGGCAGGGCTGGGAGCCTGTGAGATCCACAGCGATTACAGCGAGGGACACGGAGTTCAGCCGGGAGGAGCTCCCCACGGACTCCCGACACTGCGACTCAGTCTGGGGTGACCGCGGAGCACAGTACCCACAGAGCTGTCGTCCAGGCATGCTACAGGCCAGGCCCCCGCGAACCGCCGGGAATGCTCACCTTTAAGAGCATCCAGGACACGCAGGTGAAGGGGGTGCTGGCCTCCAGCAGCAGCGTGATCATCGCCAGGTAGTGGCCGGCTCCCAGGTTCACCACGGAGCCCAGAAAGCCAAGGAAGGCGAAGAGATGGTGGACGGCCAGGAACAAGTCAAACGTGCGGAAGACCGCGTTGGACAGGTGAACCGCCACGTTCTCGAAGAAGAAGAAGCCGGTGGCCGTGGCGATGTGGAACCAGCACCAGTTCTGCTGGCCGCGGGCCTTGTCGGCGTGCAGCACAGGGTCTGCCAGCAGGGCCCACAGGCCCGCCGCTGTGCTCTGAACGCCAAAGACGGCGCGCGTGGCCGCCAGGTCCCAGAAGACCTTCTCTCTGGCCGCCAGAGAGCGGTATGTGGCATTGAGGGAGGATGACAGCTGGTGACAGACCACGAAGACACCCAGGTAGAAGGCGAAGCCGGCGACCGCCAGCGTGGCGCGGACCTTCCAGGAGGTGTAGTCCAGGTCGAAGACGCTCTCTGCCGTTCCCCCCTCGCTCCCAGGAGTCATCGTCCTCGCGGAGTCTACCATGGGCGTCCCAGGAACACAGTGTCAGTGTGGGGGCCTCGGCGGTCCGCATGAACTCACAGAAACCTGCAGAAAGGACAGGTCACTCCACGTGGACAAGGCAGGAGCGAGCCCACAGCCCCCTCCAGCGTGACCGACATGCTGCTGTCGTGAAGATTTCTACACCCTCTTCCCCGTAACTGAAGGCACACAGACCCCACAAGAGAACCCTGCCGGGGGCCCTGCACGAGGCCAGGAGCGGAGCCAACAGCATGCACCATCCCGGACCCGACCGCGGGCCCACCCAGGGTCACGCCACACTCCCGGGGGTGACATGCGTTCAGTCACGTGGCTGCTGGTTCCACTGCAGCTTCCCGGCCAGGGTCATCTGCAGTCTGGAGGGCTGCTGGCGCCTATGGTGCCGGTGGGGGCACGGCCACGTGCCACAGCCCCGTGTCCCATGGGCTGGCTTCCCATGCCCGTGGATTGTGGCAGGTGCTCACAGACGCTCCATCATGAGCACAGCCCTTACCATAACCTAGGAGAGCCTGCATCCCTGATCTCGTCTGCTGACCTGCCACACGGCACCAAGTCCACCCTTGGTCCCCCGTGGGAAGCATGCGCAGGGCCTGGATCAGAGGGGGCGAGGGCGGCTGCGCACGCCCATCCATAGACCGCAGGAAGGACCGCGGAAACTGCTCTCCCCGCGGCTTGGTGCCGGGTTCCCACCCTGGACCACATCACCGTCAGGGCCACGTGCAGCTCTCCAACTCAAGTAAGTCTGCTTCTGACCATGAAAACAACTCCCTCCACTTCATCCATAAAAACATGAACGGGGCACGTGACCCAAGGGCTGTGGGTAGAGATTATCACTGCCCTGTTTCCAAAACTCCTATTCTCCTACCAATGGCTGCCTACGGGAAGAGAAAATATCACGAACACACTTACTAATCAAGAAATATGTTCAGCGGAAAATGCCGCTCACTATTCTCTGTAACAACATGAAAACAAAAGTTCATTTTTCCAATGCCCAGAAACATGAACAATCTCCTCTCACAACCAACCGTCTTCCCATCCCTACGCAGGTTCGACAAAACTTGGAGATCGCGTGAAAAGGAACCTCAAATCCGATTTCTGGGAGCGTTAAGAAGTGTCCTGCCTGCGTGTTCGAAGACAGCTGTCGTAGGGGTGACACTAGTTAGGAAGACAGAACGGACCCCAGTTACCCCTGGAAGAACGTGGTGCAGGTCTGTGCTCCCGGCCGATCAAGTCTGAGCCCGGCGCTTTCAGGACCCCATGCTGCACCCCGCTCCCCGCTCCTGCCCTACTGAGGCTTCTGCTTCCTTGGAAACCCGTCTCCCTTATTACTTCTGGGCTTCTGCTCCTCCTGGGTTCCCTACCTCAGAGTCCATCACCTGCCCCACCCATCAGCCCCTCTAACCTTTCAGATCTCAGCATCCGTGCTGTTTCTCCAGAAGCCCTCTGAGACCAGAGCAAGTGCCACAGACCACCCACCTTCCGGCCCCTCCACCACTCTATCTAGACACGTGTCTGACCACTGCTGCTGGGACCCCAACCTCTCCCAGACCAGCAGCTCTCAGAGCCCAGAGCCGTGCCCACCTGTCCATCTCTGCACCCCCCACTGCCTGATCCAGCACTTGGCACAGAGGACGAGCTCAAGAAGCACTTATTGAACATGGGCACAGATTTCAAATTACGCGTACCAGTCAAATTTACCTAAGTTTGGACATGTTTTGTTTGTAAAAGTGCGAACGCCAGAGTCTCGAGTCTTCCAAACAAGCTCCCTATGTCGGACTTCAGAGAGGGGACCCCAGGATCAGGGGCTCACCAAGGGGCCTCAGGGGCCTGGCCTGCAGGCGCCCCCTGGGTCCCCCCAGCTCTGCAGGGGCTTGCCGTATTGGGCACTTCCCCGGGGAGCCGAGGGCTGTCCCCCACATCTGGCGAATGATGAGCTTGCAGGGGAATCGGGCTGCCCACAGCGCAGCCATGACCCTCTGACCTCGGGAGACACCATGTTGAGCGGAGCCTAGAGCCACAAGCATTAGACCAGCTGCCGATCTGTGACTGTTCAGCAAAAAGCAGCAAAACGGCTCTTCTGCCCGGACGGTCACCATGACTAGTCAGGATGCAGAGAGTACTAGCTCGTTTAACCCAAGCTACAAAGGAACCATTTCTAACCACTGAACGCCTGGATTTGATAATGCTCCTAGAATCAAAGGCCAAAGCCACGGAAGTGTTCGTCTTCCTATTTCTCAGCGAACACGACCTCTGAAGTAGGCTGGCTCTCCGGGAGCAGGAGTCGGATTCAGGGAGAAAAGACGAGACCACACTCATTCGCTGACTTTGCACAGGCTGGCGAGAGCACTTGGCTCTGGGTGCCTGTGCACAGGGGTGTGCACGTCTCTCCCGCTGCACGTTCGGACATCTCAAACCCCCCGGCTGGGGACGCTGCCCGCCCAGCCCAGCCCACTCCTAGGGAACAGCGAAGCAGGGTACGGACCCCCGAGCCCGGCCTCCCCCACCCTCACCGCACCAGGCGCAGCACCCTCGGCCCAGCCTCCCCACCGTCCGCACCAGGAGCAGCGTTCCTCTGCCTAGATCATCCCAGGCTGCCACCCCATCGCCCGAAGCCACGGAAACTGTTCCGAGCAGCCAGTCCCGAGTCATTCACCCTGTCCTGCCTGCCCATCCCATGGAAACCCCATCGAAGGTCATGGTCTCAGTCGTCCCCTGCCTCCGGACCTAGCGCTTCCCCCGGCGGGGCCCAGCATGGGGGTGGCCTGGCGTGCCTTCCTCTCTAGGACCCACGAGCATGCTGACCGTGGTTTTCCGGAGCCCCTGCTCCGTGCCCTCCTGCAACTGCACCGGCCCCATAGGAGCACCCAGAACAATCTGGTTCTGCAGTACATCGCCGGCTCACCCACGACACGTACAGGCGCCGAGCCGCTTCCGGCCAACCGTCTCCAGGGCTCGGGAGCACAGTGACCAGCATCAGGCTGCCCCGGCAGGACCGTCTACTCTGAGAAAACACGGACTCTGCCCGACTGCTTCTTGCACTTTTCCCCAAGTCAGACACGAGATCCGGGCTACATTCCTACTTCGCCATGATTGCATCAATGTGCTTTTAGCCAAGTCATCGAACTCCTGGGGCGCCTCAGCCTTGAAAGCGGAAGGGCCCCGTGACTCCAGGACTCAGGCTCGCCCCAGCGGAAGCGGCCAGGACAGGCGTTATTCAGGGAGCTCCGGGTCGGGAGTGAGGGACTCGGGGGGGGCCAGGGCCCAAGGAACACAAACAGTAGGTTCTGATCTTGGTTCCACTACTCAGGCACGAAGAAAACATGTTTCGCAACCGTCGTGGGCCCCGGTTTCTGACGAGAACAAAAAGTGTACACAGAAATGCAGGACAGCGGGACGGTGCTTACTAACACGAGGCGCCTATTACGTGCCAGGCACACCGCACTAGGTCATTTAGTTTTTGTTTCCAGTTTCCCTAGCGAGCCCAGGCCCAGCCCCCTTGCTCTGGATTGGATGGGCACCTGTCAGGGGCCGCAGAGCTCCGGTCCCCGCGGCATGCAGATCACCGGCATAGGCTCTGCCAAGGGCGGGTGTCCCCCCTGCCAGTGCAACACGCCCAGGACAGGGCCCACCTCAGACTCTGCCTTGACCGCCCTGGAGTGACGGTCTGCGTGGCCGGGTGCCTGCGGAAGGTGCAGAGCCGCTGTGCTGGCACGGTCTCCGGTCCCCGTCTGGTCACAGAAACCGTGGACTCGGCAGTGGGATGAGTGAGTATCTTCCTTCTCCCAAACAGGCTAGCGGAACCTGTGTCCCATGTGCCTGAACGGTTTGACAAGCGAGCAGATACAATTAAATCACATTATCCTGCTGGAGAGAAACCCTGAGAGCAGGCCCCTGTGCACCGTCCTGGGCGGTTATGGGGCAGGTGGCCGCTAGCCAATCACGAAGGCTCCTGAGAGCTTAGGATGAGGCTGGAGCACAGGCTCCTTCCTGCGGCCATATGTGCTCGAGTCCCTAATAATGCGACCCTGAGGCAAGGATGGGAGAACAGGGCTCAGGGGGAGGCCCACATAAAGCAGGCCGTGAGCGGCGCAAGCACTGCCCTGGGCAACGGGGACTGGCGGCAAGGGCTCAGGAACCCAGGAAAAGCCTCGGGCTCCAAAGGGCACATGGCACACCTGCGGCTTGCGGCCAGGTCTGCGAGCCTCCTGGAGAGCGTTCTGGGACGGTCTCGGGTGGGAGCACAGAGCCGCAGACAGCCCGGAGCTGGCACAGACGCACCAGTGAGAAAAACGGGGACAGCTCACCAACACCCCTGTTCTCTCCCCATTCTGATCCTCACACCGGCTCCAAACCTGGCCTCACGGGCTCCGACACAGCTGCCACGTGGTGTCTCTCAGCAGCCGGCACCACGGGTGTCTCGGGGTCTGCTGAGCCGGGCCGGGAGGCTCCAGCGAGGGGAGCCACCAAGCGACCATGGCCAGGCCGAGGGTCACAGGCACCTGCAGGGACCCAGTTGGGGCAGCAAGTCGGCCTCCCCGAGCCCTGGGGAGGTACTGCCGTCCCTTCCACAGAGTCGCAACGCGACCCAAATCCCTGCACCCACAAAACCAGCCAAGCTCTGTTCCAGAAAGGCGGTGCAGACAGGGTGGGACAGAGTGGCATTCCTCCTCTTATCTCCTATTGGCCTGCCAGCCAGACCACAGCCCCCTGACGGCATCCCCCAGATGGCACGGGGGACACCGGGTCACCGCTGTACCACTGCCACATGCCCACCCCTGAGGTGGGAGGGCTTCTCACGTGGCCTGGAGTGCAGGCGTCGTCACAGCTCGGAGTCCCTGCTCCCTCCCAGGCACCCCGGGAGGCCCAGTGGCTCACACTCAGCCCTTCTTCTCCATGGAAGGCTCCGGGGTCCGGGCACTCCAGCTCTGCCTCTCCGTGGTAGGAGAGCGGCAGCAGGGAGGCACTGGCTCCTGGAGGGCCAAGAGTCCCGCTCCCGACTCTCTGAGGGCCTTTGCTGTCTTTGTGAAGAATCTACCTACAAAC